TATATATATATAGCAGAGTAGTATTCCATTGTGTAGATATACCACTTTTTACTTATCCTCTCATCCAGTGTTGGGCATTTAGGCTGTTTCCAACTCTTGGCTATTGTAAATAGTGCTGCAATAAACAGGGAGTACAGGTATCCCTTCAACACGATGATTTCCATTCCTCTGTGTATATACCCAACAGTGGAATTCTGGGTAATAGGATAGATGTATCTGTAATTGCTTGAGGAACCTCCATACAATTTTCCATGAATGCTGCACCATTCTGCAGTCCCACCAACAGTGTAGGAGGGTTCCTGTTCCTCCACATCCTTGTCAGCATGTATAATTTACAGTCTTTTGGAAATTATCCATCCAAACTGGAGTGAGATGGTACTTGAAAGTGGTTTTGATTTGCATTTCCTGAATGCTGAGTGATGTTGAGGATTTTTTCATGTGTCCATTGGCCATTCACATATCTTCCTTTGAAAAATGCGTATGCTGCTCCTATGCCCATTATTCAATAAGGTTACTTGGTTTTTAGCTGTTAAGTTGTTTGAGTTCCCTGTATATTCTGGATATTAGTCTTTTGTCAGATTCATATTTTGCAAATATTTTCTCCCTCTCTGTTATTTGTCTTTTTCCTCTGTTAATTGTTTCTTTTGCTGTGCAGAAGCCTTATTGTTTGATATAATCCTATTCATTTTTCCTCTTTGGTTGCCTGTGCTTTCGGGGTCATTTTCATAAACTCTGTACCCAATCCTACTTCCTTAAGTATTTTCCCTATGTCTTTTTTAAGGAGTTTAATTGTTCTGGACATATATTTAAGTCTTTAATCCATTTTATTTTATTTGTCAATATACAATGTGGTTGATTACTGTGGCCCATTTCCTAAACCTCCGTCCCTCCGCCCTCTTCCTCCACCCTCCAAACAAACTCACATCTGTTCACTTGTCACATCAACTTCAAGAAATTGTGATTGTTGTGTCTTCTTCCCTCCTCCCGCCAGTTTGTGTTTTTACTTATTTATTTATTTTTAGCTCCCACAAACAAGTGAGAACATGTGATATTTCCCTTTAATCCATTTTGAGTAGATTTTGTTATTTGGTGAGAGGTACAGGACTAGTTTCATTCTTCTACATCTAAATATCAAATATTCCCACCACCATTTACTGAAGAGGCATTCTCTTCCACAGTGTGTATTCTAGGTACCTTTGTCAAAGCTCAGATGACTGTACTTGTATTGGTCGATTTCTGGATTCTCTATTCTGTTCCAGATGTTCATTTGTTCGTTTTAAAGCCAGTAACATGCTGTTTGGGTTACTATAGCTTTGTGAGTATAGTTTAAAGCCAGGTAGTGTTATGCCTTTGGCTTTATTTTTATTTTATTT